TATAAATGATAGTACTTCTTACATCAAAATCCTTACACTTTGGACAGACACTTTATCAAGTGGCTGAGCAAACATAGCAGCTTTTGAAGTATTTGAAGAGCCATTGAATTTAAGAGTCTTCATGCCTTCACTGTTCTTTAATCTTATTAGTACAGACCTCATTCAGAACATGGCTCTTCCTTGGTTCAAATTTAAGGACGTAAATTATAAAATAATGCTTAAAATTTCTTATCTACTTCATCCTGTTGATAGATGTATGAAATACTTAGGAAGCTCTTGAATTTAAAATGAGAGGAAATCATAATATTTTAAGATGCCATCCAATTAATAGGGACCTATTTGATCTGCTTTTTTCTTTCTTTCTTTTTTAAATAACTATAAAAAATCCCTACCATTTCCTCCGTTCTGTATTTTTCAAAATTCAATGAGGTAAATGTTTTGGTCCAATACTTTATATTCATCTATAAAACTACCTAATGAACAATAAACGGATCAAGAACAAATGTAGTAAGCTTTACCTATTCAGAATCCATAAGGATTAAGTGTCTGTTAAGAGTTTTGTCCTTTTAATTTTTAAATTTTAATTCATAATTTAAATGGATATCACTTAACTGTTTTTTTCTTTTTTGCTTTGTTCTTCTCATTCTTCATTTTGGCCTCTTTACGCATGCAATCTCAACTTTAGAATTAAATAATAAAGTGTACATGAAAACATTTCTCCATAGTAGGTGCCCAATTGTAGAGAATAGGGTAGTCATATCTAGATTTGACTGGTGTGTACATCCAAGTTCTGCCACTGAACTTATTGTCTCTCCTTGGGCATAAGGATTCACCCCTTCCACATCTGTTTTCTTAATTGAGCCTCAATTTCCTTACATGTAGAATTGTATGTTAGGACAAATTGAAATAATGTGTGCAAAATGCCTCGTGTTTGCCACACAGATGTCCAGTAAATGTTAGCTTCCCCTATACCTCTTTCTTCCCTTCATCCTTGACTCCAATAAGTTTTTAGTACACCCAGTTGTACATCCAAACTTTCACCAATCAGTATGTGTCTCTCCATTCCCACTGTCAGAGTTTAGTCACGTTTACTACCCCTTGGACTGTTGTTAGGCTCCTGACTGGTTTTGCTGGCTTCAGTCTTTTCCCCTGTCCAAGTCTGCCCTTGACCTCCAGGTTAATTTTATTAATCACCATACCCTTTTCCAAAAACTTCAACATTACTATATTTACTACTAATATAAATCTAAATAGCCTAGACCAGCCTTCAAGACTTTTCATACACAAGCCTTCAATCATCCCTTTCCTCCTTGACTCTGCCTCTAATTGTGTATCACTTTCTGCTTTATTTTAGAGACATACATGTGCATGTCTTATCTCTCTTTAAAGGCTGTAAATTGCATGTAAACCAAGACTATATCTGGATTGATTTTGAATTTTGCACAGTTGCTTTTACTTAGTAAATGCTTGTGGGAGAAAAGATAATTTACTTTCCTCTAATAAAAATAATAATAATAAATGTAATTCAGCCTTTCTTGGTGAGTCGAGGTTGCCATCCTGAATATCAGTTTCAAAGATTTATTGAGAATCAGTTACCAGAAGGCACTCTGCTAGGTGTTAGGGAGGGAGCTAAGTACAAAAGACAGCCTGCTGAAGTGTCCTGCTAAGTTTGTTCTATCTGGTATGGAATTGGAAACCACATGAAGAAGGTAAGTTAAAATAGGTGTAAATTGTCTCTAAGTGATATTTCCAGGATGATATTCTTTATTGAAAAAGCGATGAATATAAGCGTTCGGTGCTTTATGTGTCTCATGTTGTGTGTGTGTGTGTGTGTGTGAGAGAAAGAGTGTGAGTGAGAGAACATGCCATAAAAAAAAAAACAGTTGTTCAGATAACTTCTTTGAAAATATCTGATGTCTATTTTATTCTAAGCAATTTTCCCCAAAGGTGAGGTTTTTTGAGACTGAAGTAATGTGTAGTAGCAATTTACAAACACAAAATGTTTTTACAAACATTACTTTTAATCTAGTATTTTAATTTGTTGGAATTTCTGGAGTTTAAGGATTACATTTTTTAAAGGAAGTTATTGTGTTGCCTGGATAATATAGCTACAGAGCTGAATAATTTCAAAGAAATGGCCACAGCAGATTTTTTTCTTTAAATGATGCTGTTAGGTGCCATCAAGTCAGTTCCGACTCAGCGACCCTGTATACAACAGAACGAAACACTGCCTGGTCCTGTGCCATCCTCACAATCTTTGTTATGCTTGAGCCCATTGTTGCAGCCACTGTGTCAATCCATCTTGTTGAGAGTCTTCCTCTTTTTCACTGACCCTCTACTTTACCAAGCATGATGTCCTTCTCCAGCGACTGATCCCTCCTGATAACATGTCCAAAGTATGTGAGACATAGTCTCGCCATCTTTTGCTTCTGAGGAGCGTTCTGGCTGTACTTCTTCCAAGACAGATTTGTTTGTTCTTTTGGCAGTCCATGGTATAGTCAGTATTCTTCACTCAAAATTACAGATCAGGAAAATATGTCTGAACTGATGTTTTGAAACTTTCTGTATGGCTTTTGTCAGCTTTTCCTTTACAGTTAAAAATTATATATATTAAATAACTTCTAACCATTTTTGATATGATCCCTTTCAATATCAGAAATAAGTGGATCCTTAAAACAGTTCTTTCAGTATCCTTCAATTGAGAAAATATAAAAGCAAAAACTTCCTATTAATTTTACAACTGTTTAGTCCGTATTTTATTAATCAAAAAACACTCATTCTTTGAAATATAGGAGTAAATATGCATAATAACGTAAGCTGGTCTTCAGACCATGCCTAATACATATATAGATTCCCAGGCAATTATAATAACATCATAACTCATTCAGTGACACTTTTAAAATAACCAAAAAAGAACAAACAAACTTGTTGCCGTTAAGTGGATTCCGACTCATAGCAACCCGATAGGACAGAGTAGAAATGCGCCATAGGGTTTCAAGGAACAGCTAGTGAATTCAAACTGCTGACCTTTTGGTTAACAGCCGTACCTCTTAACCACTGTGCCACCAGGCCTCCCCTGTAATAACACGACCATTATAAAAGCCCTTATAATAACATCCTTAAAATAATCCATTTATTGATGCTCAACTCACAGGTTGGGAATGACTGATTTTGGTGATACACTTGTTGTCTTCATCCATTACTACCAATAATCTATATTGTTGACTAGCAATTTAGTAAAAGATACTATAATTCACTAGTTTTCGTAAATATTTTAGGACGTTATTCTCTAAACTATACTCTGAAGATTTATAAAAGTTTTTGATGAGTAGAATAAAGAAAAAAGCTAAACTTTTAATAGCTCTTTTCATTTCACAATGCTTCATTTATTTACTATGCCTAATAATTTATTTTCACTATCAGTATTTCACCATTAAATTGATATGATCAAGTCATTTTCACCTATATTGAGTGACTTTAGAATGTGCCTGAGCCTAGTCATCTTTTGAAACACTATCTATCATGTACCTATCCATCCATCCATCCATCCATCCATCCATCATCTTTTCTTTAAAAATTATTTTCAAGTTGAATCAGAGCAGGCAGATCTGGACTGACAAAGATGGAGCTAACACTCCCAGCAGATACTCCTTTGGCGAAGACATCTGCATCTCTTATCCAGAAAGAGTCTCCCTAGGCATGAAAATGATGGATTATTCATTGTTTATTGCCCACATGTACTATTAATGTGATAATTTTGTATGTAATGAAAATATACAAACATTTTTGAGATTAAAGTTTTATATACCAAGAAAAGAAAACACAAAGCACTTGAACCTATGTATGAGCTACAAGAAACATAAAGTTACTAAGTATTAATGTATGCTTACTTGTGATTTTTTTCAAGTACCACCATTAGACATTTGAACAAGATAAATTTGATCATAATAATCATCCAGTTCTAGTCTACCAGTTGCCATAAAGTCAACCTCGACTCATGGCAACCCCATTTTTTGTCAGAGTAGAATGGTGCTCCAAAGGGTTTTCAGTGGCAGATTTTTAAGAAGTAGATAGCTAGGACTTTCTTCCCAGATGCCTCTGCGTAGACTTGAACTTCTAGCCTTTCAGTTAGCAGCCAAGCACATTAACCAACTGCAGCACCCAAGGACACTGTAATAACCATAGCTAAGGTTTATCTTGTTGTAAATACAGTAATGCTAACATACCTAAGAACGCACTGAAAAAAATCAGATGATGTATGATAACAGAACACATTATTACAACATGAATCCACCTGTAGTATGACTGATAGCATGTATATATGATCTTGCTGTGTTAATAGTAGTGGGGTGTGTATAACCGGGGGAGAGAGTAAGACTGCTTCCTTCTGCAGTGGTCAGATAGGTACTTTGTTTAGTTCTGTGTCCCTCTTGTTAAGAACTAGAATCTAGGAAAATGGATGAATTCAGAGATAGGGAAGGGGCTAAAATAAGGAATGATCAAAAGTCCTGGAATTATATTTAGTATGTATTTAATAATGTATTTAGAGGACATAAGGAGATAGCATAGCTATTATTAAATATTTGAAAGCTTATTATATAGAGAAGTTATTAAACTTATTCTCTATGTCTTTCATGGGTAGAAATAATACCAAGGAGTCAATGTGGAGAAGGATTTCTAACAAGTGGAATGGGTTGCCATAAGAGAAAAGTAGATTCTCTGTTAACAGGCATATTCAGTCTGAGGCTGGATGACCCCTTGATGAGCTGTGATAGAAGGATAGGAAGGATTCCATCCTTGAGAATCTTCGACATATTAGAGAAGAAATGACTCAATCCAGATCAGCCTGCCCTGATTTAAACTGGCATAGCTTTGGATATAGGAATAGATACCTGATTTAAGAGTGTTCAGGATAATCACTTTTAAATTTCCATCTCAGGACACATTTCAAAATGTCTCATTCAACTCCTGAAAAGTTGTGACTTCCTTAATAGCTGCACATTCAAAATTGTGCTAGATTCAGATGCAGCCGAATATGGAGGACACCAGAGACTGGACCACAATACCGAATTCTTTTCTGAGACTTTTGAACATAATGGGCGTCCCTATTCCCTTTTGGTAAGTAAGGTTTTTAATATATTTTCATTTGGTTTTAATTTAGTCTTTGATTTTTTTAGTGATGTTATAGTCAAAGAAACACCTCCTCAACAAGTAAGTGACATAAAAAAAGGCGGGGTAGGGAAGGGGGACCGTGTTAAATTAAAAGAGACTTAATGAATAAAGAAGCAAGGTGAACGTGTGGTGCTGGACTAAATTGGGTTTTAGAAAAACTAACAGTAAAGGATATTTGGGCGGTAATTAAGGAATTTTGAATATTAATAGGATTATAAATTATTTCTCAAAACTTAGAGGAAAAGCGATTTTTTATTATTTTTATTATGAACATTTCTGTTCTTTATGTAAGAACCTTCTTCTACTGTGCTTGCTTTCTCTGAAATATGTTATATTAGGCAGGTTTTTACATTACCCGCTATGTAATAAAATTAATTTAAAACACTTTAAAAGAATCATATGAATGTGTATCTTTTTTCTTTCATGTAGTAAATTAAAGACTGAATTTATACTAGGTATAAAAGTCTATGCTGTCCTCATACTACTGAGGAAAACATTTTATATAACAACTTTTATTTGGTGGTATTATCACAAATTATAGAATATTGCTTTAAACTACTTGGTTTAAACTCTGTTTTAAAAAAGTAGAATCTATCAAATCTCTAAATCTAAAGAAATTTCTTGTTTAATTTATGGTCAGACATTATGCTCAGGTCCACATCTACATTTTTTAAATCTTTTTTTTTTCTTTTACTGATTGTTCAGTCTTCCTCTGTCTCTCTCTGCCTCTCTCTCTCTCTTTTTCATTTTGTCTTGTTTTACCCATGAAAGAACTTGGATTAAACATGTGTTTTCACACTTATGAGGCCAGGATGTATCTGACAAATGTATGACTTTATTATAACTGTTAAAGCTCTTATTAGGATGAAATCCTCGTTTTTCAAAAATTTAGGTGTAAATCAGGTATGAGAATCTGTTCAGTACCCCTAGATCCCCTATTTCTATTGTCCATCTCTTAGAGTGGCATCAGCACCTCACTTTATAAGTTTCCATATTATATACAGGATCAATGTGGCAAAGACCAAAAAAAAAACCAAACCTGTTGCCGTGGAGTCGATTCCAACTCATGGCGAGCCTATAGGACAGAGAACTGCCCCATAGGGTTTCCAAGGGGCACCTGGTGGATTCGAACTGCTGACCTTTTGGTTAGCAGCCTGTCTTAGTCATCTAGTACTGCTATAACAGAAATACCACAAGTGGATGGCTTCTAACAAACAGAAATTTATTCTCTCACAGTCTAGTAGGCTACAAGTCCAAATTCAAGGCATCAGCTCCAGGGGAAGGCTTTCTCTCTCTGTCGGCTCTGGAGGAACGTCCTTGTGATGCATCAGTCTTCCCTTGGTCTGGGAGCATCTCAGCACAGGAACCTCAGGTCCAAAGGATGCGCTCTGCTCCCGGCACTGCTTTCTTGGTGGTATGAGGTTCTCGTGTCTCTCTGCTTGCTTCTCTCTTTCATATCTCAAAAGAGATTGGCTTAAGACACTACCTAATCTTGTAGACCTCATCGACATAACTTCCATTAATCCATTTTATTACATTATAGTGATAGAGTTTACAACACATAGAGCAATCACATCAGATGATAAAATGGTAGACAATCATACAATGCTAAGACTCATGACTTAGCCAAACTGACAGATGTTTTGGGAGGACAGAATTCAATCCATGACACAGCCATAGCTCTTAACCACTATACCACTAGGTTTTCCAATGGATTCTTATAAGGCATAAATTCATTGACTTGTATAAGCTTTTTGGATAGTGCAAAATGCTATTGCACATGTACTTAGAAATTATTATTTTCATGGCTGTTCAATAATTATTTAGGTATTTTAATTATGTCCAGGCACAAGGTGCTTTGGAGACACACAATTAAAGAAGACTTTCTCCCAACTTTGGAGAAATTACAATCTTAAGTGAGAGCTCATAATCTTTGGGTGTGGGCAGGAAATATCTTGGCATTGTTTTTATTTTATAAGAGCAAAGATACTCTGTCACAGTTAAAACAAGCTAACGAACCAGTGGCAGCAGCAATCAGAAGATTACTTTTCAAGCACTTATTAATCTCATAAATGTCGAATGTGCAGTTCTAAATTAGCAGATGGAATGGAGAATATCTCCTAAGTCTCCATGATAGGTAGCGGAATACAGCACTGCAAGCACATGAGAAATAGAACAGCCTGTAGTAGAATTCTGATCCAGCTGGGTCAGTAAGGTGGCTGCAGATGCTTCAGGAGTTAGTCATTTAAATGAGTCTTTAGGCCCCACATGAAATGACCACTGATTTTAATGTCAGAATACGGGAATCCAAATGGGCCAATAAAATACAGGAAGTCAAGAATACAATTTTTCTTCTTGCCAGAGTTATTCTGGGAATAGCTAGAGAAGAAACTCACATATAAAAAAAAAAAAAAAAAAGCCTAGGATTAGAAAGCCTCATTATAATGGAGTTCCTTATTAAATGGATTCATTTGTGGTGGGATCCAATCAAGTTCCTTGAGCATGACCATGAGCGCTGTAGGTCTGATATCACAGTCAGTGAGATCTGTCTTGTCTCCCACACTGAGAGCAAAAGCGGGGCATGTGGACAACATAGAACTTTTTTCACTTCCAGAGAATTTCTGCCCATTGTAACTGGTACACATTTGCTAAGCTTAATTTGCAAGCTCAGTAATCCACAGGATCTGCTGAATAAGTGTCAAATCTGTTTTCAAAGATAGCAACAAACAGAGCTCAAAGGATTCCTAAAACAGCTCTACATGCTACAGCATCAGTAGGTATGGCTCCAGCGTCATCTTTACGTGCTCCATCAGTTGAAACTGTGAAGCTAGAGCATAACTGCGTGTGTACTACCATTGAAACGTATTTGCTGAGGTCAGAGTATCTCATAAATGCCGAAAAGCAATAGGGCAGAACTTCTCCGTTCTGCTTTACTGGCAGTTGTTGGGAAATTCATTTTAACATAATCATTTCTCTATATTTCAATTCCTGATATAGGAACTTAGATGTTAACCTACATGTTAACCTCTATTTAATCAGTATACTAGGGTGAGAAGGGTTTCCTTTCTCTTCTCTGACTCATAAATTCAAGTTCCCTGACACCAATGGGAGAACGGAGATGCTGAGCCTTAAATAAATTAGACTCCTTTACAGTAATTCAAGCTATCTCAATAAGGAAAATGTGACTAAAGCAGTAGATGTAGCATTAATTACTTTGCCACTTAGACTCTTCATTAAGAAGAAGTAGGTCTGTTTATTCACATTCTAAATTTGGGTGTTCAAAAGTAGACTTGTTTTAAATAAAGAGTTGAGCAGGTAAAGTAGCATGTATTTTGGCTCTCTTAAGAAAGGAATTGGATTATATTGTGGAAGTCTGATTCCTTATGAAAAGTTGGTTATAAATATATAAACTAGATAAATATAACTAGATAAACTGGGTGGTGCAAACAGTTAAGTGCGTGTCTACTAACTGAAAGGTTGGCCATTCAGATCCACCCAGAGGCACCTCAGAAGTAAGGCCTGGTGGTCTGTTTCCAAATGGTCACAACCATGAAAATCCTATGGAGCACAGTTCTACTCTGCAACACACGGAGTCATCATGACTTGGAATTGACTCAACAGCAACTGGAAACATAAATAAATATAACTAGAAAGAATTAATTTCATAGCCATGCATTGCATTGTCTCATATGTTTGTAAAGTCACCTTCACTACAAAATGTCTAGGGCTTAGTGACTAATAAATGGGCATAGTAGCTCTGTTTATCAGCATAGATTATCTTTGACAGACACACTAAATAGTTTGTATATGCATGTACTTAAATAAAAATGGTTTATATTTAAATGTCCTTAAAATTTATGTTTAAATCTACTTATTTTCATGTTTCTTTTGCTGCATAATTCAAAACTATTTTTAACATTAAAATTATAAAAGGAGAGTTACACAGACAATACTAAATTATACCTGTTCCCATCAAGTCTTTTCCAACTCATACCAACCCTACAGGACAGAGCAGAACTGCTCCATAGGGTTTCCAAGGCTGCCAGTCTTTATGGAAGCAGACTGCACATCTTTCCCCTGTGGAGTGGCTGATGGGTTCGAACTGCCGACTTTTCAGTTAGCAGCTGAGCATTTAATCAGTATGACACCAGGGCTCCTTATATTAAGTTATAGGGACCCCAAATTGTTCATGTCTGTAATTACCTCTTCATAAGGATTATCTCTGATTGTCTCAAGTCCTTTAGTATAATTGGAAGTCATTTACTAACCACTAAGAAAATTGATCTTCATACTTAGAACCTTAATACAGAAGAAAACTCAAAATTCCATGAACAATCATAATTAAGAAAAATCACTTGCTTGGATAAATTCTTTTATATTGCCTACACCGCAAGGGCTCTAGAGCAAAATAAGCACATTCTGGTAATTAACACTGCAGTGAAAAAAATATAATTACACAATATTCCTGTTAATGATATTATGCAATTATCAATTGAAACTTTTGAGTAGACAGTATTAAGAGGTCTCTAAGTGTGACTGGAATTGGCATCATAAAAGCTCCTTACATAAAATGACCAGTATCATTTAGTAAAATTTGTTGGAGCATTTTTTTAACCACTAAGTGTCAAATAGGAAAGTCAGTATATATATGACAAACTTCAAATGTATTACGTTATTCCTTTTTTAACTCTTAAATTTGAACCAGATAAAATTCCAAAAGATAGAAGACCAGTATTCACATTAGAAGAGAGAATAAGATTGTTTATAAATTATCAGTAGACAGTTCTTATTTACCTTTCATTAATGAAATTGTTATGAGTTTATGGATCAAACAGAGTGGATGCCAGAACTGTATAGTATCCAGATAGGAGACTCAACCTTGACTTGTCCTGATAATACTATTATGCCACACACTGAGCAGGGTCCTATCCTTATTTGTCCTAGGCCTGCCTTGTGTTCCATTGTAACTTTCTCAGGAGGCTTAGGCTTACCAGAGTCTTCTTACCTGCATATAAGAAGGCTGTCATATCAGACAAACTTTCTTAATGTACAGGGACCTGGAAATTCTTTTGTCCAGTTTCTAGTGCTACTGAGAAATGTAGATTGATCTTCAGTTTTATATTGTTCACAGCAGAAATAATTCAGAACCATTCTGTTTATAACCTGCAATCCCACTGATTAATTAAACCCAGTTACTGTGATTCCCAGAACTAAACACATATAACCATTAACCAATTGCCATCTAGTCAATTCCAACTCACAGTAAACCCGTGTGTGTAAAACTGAGCTCCACAGGGTTTTCAGTGGCCGATTTTTTGGAAGTAAATCACCAGGCCTTTATTCCGAGTCCTCTCTGTGTATACTCAAACCTTCAGACTTTTGGTTAGAGCCAAGCATGTTAACCATTTGCACCACCCAGGAAACCAAACCAAACCCACTGCCATCAAGTCAATTTCAACTCGTAGTGACCCTATAGGACCGAGAAGAACTGCCCCATGGGGTTTCCAAGGCCGTAAATCTTTATGGAAGTAGACCAGCACATCTTTCTCCCACGGAGCAGCTGGTGGGTTCACACCACTGAGCTTTCAGTTAGCAGCCTAGCACTTAACCACTGTGCCACCAGGGCCACCCAGGGACAGGCCCCTTAATGAGTACTTGGCAAGCTTCTTTGGAAGGCAGATCACTGTCTCTTGATTCATGCCTGTTTTGATAAGATTTGAGGAGGGAATGTGTTGCATCTGAGTCTTGGTTTGTTTCTCCTTTGCTTTAGTCTATGTTGCTTTGGTGTGTAGCTTGATTATGAAAATATGCCACCCTTTGAACTGGATCTGCCTCGATCGGTGGTAATAGCCCTACTTTGTTTTGTTCGTGGATACTTCTAGCTTTTTATTGAACCAATTTCTTAACACCTTACCTTTCACAGTTAAAAAGAAGATATTGAATGGAAGAGATCCCATTAGCAGTTAAATTCTTATGTGGTTTAAAAATTATAAGACACTAAAAATATGTAAATTGTAGGGAAACAGATTGTGGCATTTAACTACATAGTTTCTCTATACTGCAGGAATGTAATATTTATCTCTTTGATTCTGACTACAAGTACTGGTTTGCAAATCACGCTGTTCAACATTGAACTACAGAGTGGCTGTTAGCATTTGTGGAATTTTTCTCAGATGATGATCATTTCTTAAATCACTACTACGTTTTAATTAAAAGTTAAAAAAAAAACTAGTCATTACATTTATAATGCAAGTTTCTCAAAATTCTACCGTTGTAAAACTGCTTTAATTTTGATGTTCAAAACTAACCAGTTGTATTGGTGTGCTTTTGTTTTTTTATTTTATAAAGGACCCTAAGAAATATTTATTATAGACACCTTAATGGAAAACACTGTGCTCATTTGCAGAGTGGAGATTCATTGAGCATACCATAGTTTTAGTTAATGAAAATCAGCTGTTCTTTTTCTTCTTCTCTTTCTGCTTTTTTCCTTAAGCTATGTTTGCTTTACACCTTTCATTCTGGGTCTAAACAATAAAAAGCCTTCCCCCCCACTTTTTTTAACATCTGTCAAGCTTTCACTTAGAGATAAATTGCCTGAAAATGATAAAATATTAAAGTCAGAAATGGAGATTTATTATTGCAATAGTAATAACCATCTATAATATTTTTACTCTTTTCTTTGTTACTAGTGGTTAAGTATGTTATATATAAAATAGATAAACATCAAGAAATTCAAATCACTTCTCAATTTTATGTTATTCAGATTTAAGTATATTATAGAATTTTTTGTGAAATATGCACGTATTGCTCCCACTATTATTTATTCCTTTATTTGCTGTTCCTTCTTTTATTTAGTCATTTTTAACACCTAATTTGTCCAGACATTATACTAAGAGCTGGAAATATAAAGACATATGACCTGTACCATCATAATGCTTGTAGTCTAATGGGAAAGACTGATAGTAAACTTGAAAAAAAAATTATAAATTGTAATATGTGAAATACAAACAAAAAGGGTGCTGTAATAGAAAATAACGCGGAGAACCTGTCATCTAGGGTGGTCAAGGAAAGCCTGTCCATGAAGCTGGTATATTTCCAGATCCAAGAAATAAGGAACCAACAAGGCAAGGAGTGTTCTGGGCAGAGGGAACAGCATGGCAAAGACTCAGAGAAAGGGTAGAGTTTAGTGTGTTCCAAGAACTGAAAGGCCCCTGTAGATGGAGCCTAGTGAGTGAGGGAAAAAGACATAAGAAATGCAATGAGCTGAGCCGACAGACTAGACAAGGTGAAGTTGATGCAGGGCCGTGTGTATTTTATTTTAAGTGCAATGTCAAGCTGAGAGATTGCTTTAAATTGCTGACAGGTATAAAATACACTTAGAATCCCTTATATTTCATTTAAGTTTTTGTTCTTTAAAAAACAGGGGAACAAAGAGAAGAAATTATCAATAAAAGTGTCAATGCAAAACAATGCTTTGTAATTTGTATTATTCTCCTGAATAGAATAGCACTGTGGACTGTAGGGCAGTTTTCCTTCACCACCTGATAGTACCTACGCCTGGCAATAAGAGTGCCATTTATGTCACTAGTAGCTGACAAACTTGGTTTTTGTAAATCATATGGAGCCCTCTAGTGGTCATTGCTTTAAAATAGTCTTTGATACCAAAACTGTTGGAGCTGTGGAATTGAGCCTTCTCTGAGCCAATGGAATTGTAAAGATACAGTAATTTAAGGCAGTGTGATATTGCATCATGCCTGTGTCCCTTTGACATGATGGCGTCACATTCAGTATTCCTTTCAATTGCACTGACATGATTGTGTTAACTTAGGTGTACATTCCAAACCGCGTGGCCCTCATCCTTCAGAATGTGGATCTGCCAAACTGAAGAGTCCTGACTTCAGCTCCACCGAATGCAGATGTGCGTTTTGTGTTCCAGTTCTCTTTGTCGAAGAATTTATAATGTGAGAGCTTTTCAAAATAATGCTTGTCTTGCCAAAACATCAGATGTCTGAAATTCAATATTTGTATATGCAAATGAGTATCAAACTTTTCTTCAAGAAATAGGGAGGTATTTTTTAGATTTTAGGAATCCTCAGCTCTATGTTTTCAAGCTGTCTGCACAACTAGTATTTCAAATGTAGTGTTATATATAATGTTGAAAGCATTTTACTTTCCTGCCCATGTATTTGATTCTTAAGTTCAAATTTGAATCATTTGTCATGTGTACTTATTTCTGTTTAATGTATACAGTGTGTTTTTAAAGATGATGCTTGGTGGCCTTATTTGTTCTAATAGCTCTTGGTCTAAATTACCAAGATTTTTGCCCTGAATTACCAAGATTATTGCCCTATTTTATAAAAGTGTGTTTAGAAACACTGTAATAAATATGTAAGAATAACTTAAAATTAAGAATTATATCAATGAAAATATCAAAGTCATTATCTATGAACTCATCCATGCTTGATTTTAGGTAAGTTTTATTTTGTGATCGCTTGTTCCCTTAGTATCTTGATAAGTGCTGATATCTCAGTTTTTCTGAAGGCCTGAAACAGTAAACGTAACATTTGAAAAAATATGTCTTTTACTTTCAATCAATAAAAAAAATGCAAAATTGCCTTTGCTGATGTTTATTCTCTTGTAATATTTTGGGGATTGATTTGGAATGAGTATTGAAATGTCATATCTCAACTATAATACCTTTCCCATGTATATGTACATAGGCCTGATGGACTGACTTAATGGAATTAATAATCTATTTTTTTCTTTAGATACTAGGTTTTTGTGTCTTGAAATTACACTTACCAACTCTTACAGCTAAGCTAAATTCCAGCAGTAAACATGAGCACAATTAGAAGCTGAATTAACTCAACTCAGTGAGATACTCAACTGCCCCATGATTTATTAAATAATCCACAGGTCTAAAATCATTAATATGATTCCTAATGTAATTCATTCACAACTGAGAAATTATGATGCACTATAAGACATAAAGCATCTGTCACTTTTTTTTAAGATCTCATTTTTCCTTTATATTAATACTGGCTGCTTGCTTTTCTGTTTTTAGCCTGATCATTTATGATTAATAAGGAGTACTTGGAAGTTTTTCTATTAAAAATTCATTCAGTACGGAAGAGAGACTTGCTTTTATAGCTAAGCCTATATATTTACCATCCTTGTAACTTTTTTTGAGTAAAGCACTGACTCTCCAGGTTTGAAATGTGTTATTTACTTTAACTTCAAAGTGGAATAGTATTTTGATTCTCTGAAAGAATCAGTGATGCTAGCTGATGATGATGCATGCTGGGAAGCATTACTGAAAGCCTTCTGTGATGCTTTCCCCGTAACAGGAACGTATTAATATCTTACCACTGCCCTGTCTGTGTACTGTATCTGTTATTGATAACAACACAAAATCAACCATGATGTTACATGTTCTAATTTATAATTCCTCACCTTTGCATTTGTTATGTATGAAAAGATACACTATTTCTCTGACAAGGCTTTTTTAAAAAATGACAAGAATTTACCTAACACATAGAACCCATTTTCTTTTAATTGTATGATCCCTGTGGTAAGGTAAAGAAGCAAAACAAAACAAAAAACAGTAATTATGTGCTATATTTTCATTACATTGATTGACTTTGCTAATGTATTCTTTAGATTTCACAGTCTACAGTAAGCATTTAACAGTATAATATTAATTGCCCATGTCAAGTCTCTGCCCACCCCCATCAGACCAGTAGTTGCTAGGTAGAAATTGTAAAAATATGTGCAAATAAATAAAATATGAAGGGTCCAAAATAAGAATATAGGCTTTTTCCCATCTATCACAGCAAAGAAGGCCTTTGTAGAGCATTGCAGTACTCTAGTATATTTCACTTTAGAACTTTCATTTTTATATCAATAACATTCTCATCATCCATGTCATCTAGTGACAAGTTCTCATTCTCTTTATTGACTAGAAGTTTTCAATAATCACAACAGGAGGTGCACAATTTATTTTTTGTGCTTTATAATTTTTTTTCTCAGATATGTTCATTACCAATATCAGAAATGAGAATAATCCTTCTGTTGACTTTCTAAGTAAGTGCTTTTACTGTTTTATTTTTTTATGTTCTAGAAAACATAGATGACTACAGATTTTTCCCCATCTTTGTCTGATATTAGCATGTACTCACATGCTAGTAATTGCTGCATTACACAAAATTAAAATTTACCCCTAATGCTAAATGGTGCTTCGTGTTTTAGGTTAATTTTAGCCTAATCAGAAAATATCATTTAGAATAGTCAAAAATTGAATTGTAAACATTTTTCCTGGAATGTTTCCCACTTTGTAACACTTGAACCATGATGGTCAATTCCTCTCCTATTTTAAGTTAGATGTTTCTTGCTTTGCCCTGTTCTTGGCTGATGTATTCATCTCTACCATAGAATGAGAGATTTAGTCAGCATGCTTCTCAAGTTCAAAAAGTAACCAGTGACAGTAGACTTTTCTCATGGCAACTGTAAAAGAATGCAAGTAGTTTTTCCTCCGACTTGAACACTCCCCTTAGCAACATCAATTCACCATTTGTCAGCCATCAGGGATACAGCCATTGCTATACAGAAGGTTGTCTGAATAAGAAGCCTATTCTTCAACTAACACGAAAAAGCGTTGCAGACTTATCTGGGAGGAAGCGATGAAAGGTAATGTGTTTTCCTCCTGTGTTCAGCTTTCAGCTTCAGGGCAAATATCTTTTTCACTGTCTCTGGTCCTGCAGCCATTGAATCTGGTGATGAAAGCGAAGTAAAATAGGTTTCCTGTTGCTTTTCCTGTTTAGAATGAGCAATGGGCAGTGCCTATAGGAACCCAAACAGCCTTGGCCAGCCTTGTGCCTCATACACTATTCCTTTTTGCCTATTTTGAGTTGTGTCCTAAACTTGGGTTCTTAAGAGTGGTGAGTGTTATTTATCTACACTGCTTGCAGGGAAACAAGCACTGAGCTGTGAACTCTGCTAGGTAGAATACTATGCTGAAAGAAAATAGCAATCTACAGCATAAGTAATGAATGCCATGTCCTTTAAGTGCAGTAGAGTTCATTTATCATTTACAATGTGTTAGAATTGAAATGTGGATACATTTTCCCAGTAAAGCCAGCCTTTAGGGGGAAAAATCAAATGAATTCCCTTCTAATTTTCCTGCTCTGTTATCTTATTAATGGTGATGTATAGTGAAATGCAGAGAAATCTTCATTCTGTAGGCCAGAAGTTCTTAACTGATAGTGTGAGGAATCACGAGGCAGTACCTCTAAGTGTTTTTGAATCTCTGTAATTTAAAACATTGCATCAGGATCTTAACTCTTGGCAAACACTGTGCAGAGAAAGCAGTATTTATTTCCATGAAAAATGTATTTTGTGATAAATATGCTTATGCTAAAGGGCATGTCAGTCAGAATTTTACTTATGACTCACAATTCTTATGTGTCATTTCTTTTGGACCAGAGAGACATATTTGGCCCTCAGATATCCTGTGTGGACCATTTTACCCAGAAGTCTACACTGTATTTTTAGAAGAACAGTGTGATACAGTGGCCAGAAGGCCTGTGTTCAAGTTTCAGCTCTTAATTCCCAGTGCTTCTAAGAAAGCATTCAGTGACTTAGTTCTTATCCAGAATGACAAGGCAATTAAAGTGAAAAAAAAAAAAAAGAAGTGTGAACACTGGTTTTATAAATGCTATCATTTGATCAATAGCTGCGTGGATGGTGAGTTGGTGATTGGAGACATCTTCCAAGTTGTTGTCAGGAGCACACTGTCACCATCACCTGTCTGTCTATCAAAGCACCTGCACAAAGTTAGCTGCACCCTCACAGGCAGGAAGGCAGAAACTGCTTTATTATAGAGAAGCGGTTTTGCATTCCTTCAGCTATGAAGATGACCCGAAACAACAATCTTTCACTGCTGCTTTTCTTTGCTTTATTTTAGCTTTTGCTCTGAGTGTCCTAGGATGACACAGTGAATTCTGTTCCCCTCCAATCAGGCTAGTGCCTCAGCTACCTTGGTATTTCAGCTACTCCCAGACTTCGCACATGTATAACCCAGTCTTGTGAGTGAAGATTAACAACCTCTTTATGAGTAACCAAGAAGCCAGTGAAAACTGTATACTAAGTGAACAACTCCTGTAAACACATGAGTTGGAATCAACTCGAAAGCAACTAACAACAACAGTAACTATAGCAACCCCCAGGTGACTTCCTGTGAGGCACAGCAAACAGGAGTTGAGAATCTCTTCCTTTCCTTCCCCCTTTTCTGCTCACAGCCCAGTATACACTACTGGCAGTAGGAAGAAATGGCAGAGGGAACTTAAGAATTACAAAAGAGAGCTTGTAAAGTTAGAGACAGTTTTGGTCCATCTTTTTTTTTTAAAAAAATGGAAAGTCTGTACTGTCCTTAAAAACATACATCTTCATTAAATAGATATTTGCACAGCTAAGCGTCTAGAAGCCCGACATCTGAAATGTCCACAGATCTCTGCTATTCACAACACGGCTATGCAAACAAAATAACAAAAAGCTCTCACGGCAAATTACTTTACCATGTTGTTGTTGGGTGCCATCAAGTCGATTCCAGCTCAGAGCTCGGCTGTTAACTGAAAGGTTGGCAGTCAGAACCCACCCAGCGACCCTGTGGGAGAAAGACCTAGCTATCTGCTTCCATAAAGATTACAGCCTAGAAAATGCTCTGGGGCGGTTCTACCCTGTCATATGGGGTTGCTATGAGTTGCTACTTTACCATGCAAGGATGTAAATTAAATGAGTTAAGCGTTCAACCTATTTGTGCACATTTCTCTAAGGTGATACAGGAAATGGGGAGCTGTAAATGTGTAAATAAACATATCCAACATGGATGTATTTATAGCACATGGATGAGTATGTGAATACACAGAGACACAAATGTAATTTTCAAGTTAACTGAAAACCCACAGAGGTCACTGATTCCAACATCTTTCTTGAACTAATAATGAATTATTTGATCTCTGTGTATGATAATCAGTTTTATATATGTTTCGGGTCTCATTACAGTCATCAGATCTAAACAGGTGATTCTATTTGAAGTTTCCAAATCCGGGCAATGAAATGCAATAAATACATTTCAAACCCTTTAGAGAATTGCTCACCTCAAACTATGTAGCTATCTGTCTTGTATTTTTCCTCTAGAAGGGGTGGAGGAGGGAGATGAAATACTTTTATTACTTCTTTATTTATGTCCACTAGGAATTCTCTTTAACTGAGTTTATAGTTGTCACTTTCCACTCACTCCAGTAATATAAATGATGAAAAACACCACATGTAATTTCATTTCACAAATGCCCCCAGCCATATTGTGAATTATTTATTAAAACTGATCATATGATTGAGAAGCCCCCCCCCGCCCCCCCCCACACAGTCACTCTTTAGCGCCTGTATTTTTCTTTCTTATGGTAAATGAGCATCACTCAGTGGGACTTTTCTATGCAGAAACAGAATGCTTTTTTTTTTTTTTTTTTTGACTAAAGAGCTGTATTTTTAAAGAGACATAATGTACTGGCTGCCACATATTGAATGCCTTCTTGTTACTATGCCCTGTGCAAGGCACTTTATATACTTTATCATTGACTCTCATAAACTCAGCAAAATGAAGATTTTATCACGTTTTATAGAAAGGGGAAAAAAAGTTCCAGCAGTGATAATTACCGTGCTAAGTAACAGCAAGTGACAAACCTGGTATTAGAGCCCAGAATCTAAGGTTCATGTTCCTCCACTGCACTCTGCCATCTTTCACACCATTTCCACAATGGATCCCTAGAGATTTCTAGACCAGGGGTCAAAAATTGGCTCTGACTTGTATTGAGAGTGCTGTAGTGCAGTGGTTAAGAGCTATGGCTGCTAACCAAAAGGTCAGCAGTTTGAATCTACCAGCCGCTCCTTGGAAACTCTACGGGGCACTTCTGCTCTGTCCTATAGGGTTGCTACGATTTGGAATCGACTCTATTGCAATGGGTTTGGACTTATATGTTGGTTTTTAATTGAGTTTGAACGTCTAGGATGGTGGCATTTGAAGCCAAACTAGAAGGTGCAATGCTCCAACACTTTGCTATGAGATGGTGAGGAGGACTCGAGCAAATCGCATCTTGGAATCAGACTGAG